TGACACTTTTACCTGAAAATTTTTTGTTTATCAGGGAGCTCACCCCCACACCTACCTTCCCCTAAAGTTTGGCACGTTACTTCTGGGACACCCTGTATATAGGAATTCAAAGAATATTTTTTGAATTTTTTAATTAATACGCCCACATTAGCTCCTTAATCAACCCGAGAGGACATGTCAAACACTAAAACACTTTATTTTGTTTATTTAATATTAAGAAAGGCTTTTTTAACCCTCCATATACCAGATGACTAAATCTCACATGCCATACTAGGTGGGGTTTGACACACCCCTTTAATAAAATTAAATAAAAACAACAAATTGATATTTTATGGCAGTTTTTAATAAGAAATTTCTTTTCATAGCTAATAATGAATGAGCTTAAGTAAACGACGTATTTATTTATACATTTAATTAGAATTTTATTAAAAAAACAAAAACACAATTTTTTCTTCAGCTTATGAATATCTAAATCAGTTATGCCAATCGGAATGGCAGCATTGAGTTTATAGCTACTGCGAAAACGAACTCGCCCGTTTTTATTGTTTAAGAATTATTACGATTTTTAAACCGCTGGGGTGTGGTATACCCCACCTCGTACACGCAAGGTTAAAGGAGGGGAAAAAATTTGTTATAAAAGTTTAATTTAATAAGTAATTTACTGTTCATTTCAGACCAATTAAAAAAGTGCTACAATGCAAATTTTAAGGGCATACATAAATTTTTCGACTAGAAAACATATCGTTTTGCAGCCTTGTAATACAACCTTACAAAGCCGCGGTACTTTTTCCATTAATTAATTTTTTTGATGTCCTTGGGAGAAATCCTGCGGTCCTATTAAAAGTTTTAAGATGCAAATTTACTAGAAATGCGTTCAAACATGGGAAACATATCGAATTTTTCGCATTTTTACAGTTTCCATAGACTATTTGGTAGCCTTAGTTCAAGTTATTAACTAAAACTTCAACTAAAAGTCGGCCGGGTTACCGTTATCCTACGCCATAAAACTTCATATATATGTTATTTAGACTAAAGAGCACAAATATACAGGGTATGCATATCAAAATTTACAGACAAATATTTTTCCATATATGTATTCTTGGGACAGTCTAATGTATATGTATGTATGCACCTTTATACAAAGTTTTCTTTATCATTAAAGTAATTCAATGAGGCGTTTCCACGCATTTACTTAATACTACCTTTCCCTTTCTTTATTCTCCTTTGCAGAGGCATCAGCTCCACAGTACGCCGTTGCATCGAAAAAGAGACAGGCAAAGAGTTTGCCGCAAAAATCATCGATCTTGGCGCGGCTACCGAAGCCGGCGAAACAAATCCATATCATATGCTTGAAGCCACAAGGCAAGAAATTTCAATACTCAGACAAGTTATGGGGCATCCTTATATAAGTCAGTAAAAAAGTTTATATCTAAAAATTGCAAATAATTTTTTTTTTCGTATTTTCAAACTTCTTTCAGTTGACCTACAGGATGTCTTCGAGTCGGATGCCTTCGTCTTTTTAGTATTCGAGTTATGTCCGAAAGGTGAACTCTTCGATTACCTCACCTCAGTTGTAACGTTGTCCGAGAAGAAGACCCGCACAATAATGCGACAAATATTTGAAGGTGTTGAGTATATACACGCAAAAAATATTGTGCACCGAGATTTGAAACCCGAAAATATTCTACTCGATGAGAATCATAATGTTAAGATAACAGATTTTGGTTTCGCGCGGCAACTGAAAGACGAAGAGAAATTAACAGGTGAGTGAGCGCATTCATAAGCGGTGTTATATTTCAATTATTTATGCTAACTGTGTCCGTCTCTCTTTTTAGACCTCTGTGGTACACCTGGCTACTTGGCGCCGGAAACGCTTAAATGTAATATGTTTGAGGGTTCGCCAGGTTACTCCAAAGAAGTTGATATGTAAGTATACATTCTTTACTGGGCTTGCAGGTTTACTTCTAACTTCGCGTCTTGCCTACCAACAGTAATTTTAAAATTTTATCAGAAGCAATGTAAGTTTGTAAGATGGCTTCTAACAAGCATTTTTTGCTGGATTTAATCACTTGAAAAATTTGGAAAGTATGCTATTTTACATGCAAGTTCATAATAACAATTATTTCAATAAAAACAGCTCAATTTATATTTTTATATTAAAATATCAATAATGTTGCCGCCACGAAGCTTCGCGCAAATGAAAATGTAGCTGTCAAACTACCAAATTGGTGGCAATATTTATCATAATAAAAGCTCTGATAACACGCTTCAACAAAATTTGGTTGTATTTTATCGCAAAAACGGGGTCGACCTCATCTTTTTTGATGCTGATTTGAAGTGCATTTACAAAAAAACTGTTGGAAGTGTCGAGAAATGGCAAACATCAAAAAAAAAAAAAATAGAATAAATTATAGAATTCGGACGCAGTTTTCCGAAGAAAAAAAAACACTTATTATTGAAAATCCAATTCGCCTGATGGATTCTACCTCATCTCGATGAGTTGACTAGAAATGAGTGAAAAATTATAAAAGACTCAGTTCTTCAATAGCATGCACTTGTGTTCCCACAAATACGAAAATCCCAATCTGTGAATTTATTTTAAAAACGAAGTGATTTCATGAACAAATCGACATTAACAGCCGTATTCTAACAAAGCCACAAACTTTAGCTCATCACTGCTGTGATTTCTACTGCGCCTCAAAGCTTGCCGCTGCAAAAAATATGCCGCTACAATGCAAATTTTTAAATTTTTGTGTATTTTTCTAGCACTTAAAATCGAATTTTTTGTGACACATTTCTCGGCGCACTAGAAATCACAACAGTGATGAGCTAAGTTTTGTGACTCTGTTAGAATAGAGGGGTAAAAATCAATATCCCAGTTTCATCATTAGTCAGTATTTTGACTTTTAACACTTTCCGCGTTTTGGAATGAAATCCTAAAACATCTTTTTTTTGTGGATCGCATTATCATCATTCAAGGTCCAGAAATAGTCAGCAAGCATATAGAGGTTTGATTTCCTATCATACAGATCCTCCATAGTAGCTATGTCCTGGTGGAATTGTCCGCCATGTTATTCGCTAGTGTTTTTTTTTAGTAATTTTTTTTTTAAGTTTTCACCACTTTCTACTAAATCCATCGACATGAGGTAGAATCTATCAGACGAATTGGATTTTTTTTAATACGTGTTTTTTTTTTTCTTCGGAAAAATACATCCATATTGTATTTTTAAATGTTTTTTTTTTTAAATATGCCATTTTTCGAAACTTCAAAAGGGTTTTTCTCAAAGCTGGACGTGTTAGAAAAATTTTGTAAATGCACTTGATATCAGCATCAAAAAAACTATAAGATTAAGTCGGCCCCATTTTTGAGGTAAAATACGACCAAATTTTGTTGAACCGTGTAATTATTGCTTGCCTTGAGCAATAAGCGGGGTCTCCATTGTCAAAATATTTCCTGATAACATTATGAGACAAAAAACTGCTTGTGGAGACGCCCCGTTAGAAAAACGCTTTATGGTTGGACGCTCTTAACTACATACACATATATTTCATACAAAATTTGACAGTTTGATAAAACTTATAAAGTTTGGATTATTAGAAGCTGAAAATGGCTTCGAAAATATCGAAACATTTGGCTGAACACATAATTTGTATGAAATATATTTTCGAGTTCGAAGGCATCCTGCATCCATGTACACAGATAGTATTTATTCCCACTGCTTTGATATTTACCATCTTAGCTGGGCCTGCGGAGTTATTATGTTCACATTGCTGGTTGGCTGTCCGCCGTTTTGGCACCGTAAACAGATGGTTATGCTGCGCAATATAATGGAGGGCAAATATAGTTTCACCTCGCCTGAATGGGCTGATATATCAGGTAACAAGAAATAAATATTTTACAATAATCCAACATATACAATAATAATTATTATTATATAATTCAACTTTTCGTTACAAACAGAGGATCCAAAAGATCTGATTCGCAAATGTCTAGTCGTCGACCCAGCCAAACGAATTACAGTGAAAGAAATATTAAAGCATCCGTACTTCAATCAAATGGTAAGTCAACAGAAGCTGCTTAGCGAGAAAATAATTTATAGAATAAAAGCAGATTTGAAAAAAAAAACAATATTTAGTTAAAAACGCACATAAACTGGTTGCTCACCCCTCTACTTTTCCACAATACGAATTTCGCTTAAGATTAAGACGAATTATAGTTTTACCAATGTGTATTATAAAACGATTTTTCATAGCGGCGACTTATAGTTTGATGACACTCTTCCTCTCTTTCTGTCTCTATCTGCGTACACCGGTAAACAAGTACAATTTTTTAACTCCAATGCGCCATTAGCTTTTTAATATGTCACACCTATATTCTTTTTTTTATACACTCAATACTTTAAACATCCTTTATTAGCATAATAAATTTATTTTCTTAGGTATTTATATGCTATTTTTATAGAACATTTAGCACAGTATCTACATATAACTATTATTTTATTACATGACTATACGAATTTACATTTCTGCTGGCCACTTAAGTTGTCTTATCACCCATACCAAAGTTTGGTTTTTTATTCTTAAATTTCTTTTGAATACTATATTCTTTGTTTTCTCATAAATTCTAACTTTGATTTTCTTTCTTTTTTCTTTCATTCATCCACCACTTGCAATTATAAAACGTTACGCAAAATTTACTACCGAATTCGGCCGTCGTACAAAATTTTGTGATTGCCAAAAATTTATACGTCACCAACAATTAAATATATTATTCGCATACAAATTAAAATTTCAAAATTTTTCACATTTAAAAAAACATTTATTGGTTAACAAATTTAAATCCATATAATAAATTCATCAAACAATCAAAATCATGTTCGTATTACTCGAAAAGTTATTCGAGCAAAATATCGATGGACTAAAGCGCAGCCTATCCACCAAATCTAGGAGAATGAGTCGCATCAATGACATTGCACTGGTAACGAAATGTTTCTGCATTATGAACAGAAACCAAAGAAAAAACAGCTACAAAAACAAAAACAACATGCATAGTTATAATCACAATAATAATACTACTTACTGTTACATAGCTAACTTTATAAATAGCACAACTACAAAGAAACAAAGAGTGATTGTGTTGATCTTTCTACACTACCAAATTTCCTATTACTTATTAAAATTAATCTAATAAAACCAATTTAGAGATTAACCACTTTTTTTATTGCTGCATTGACTGCTCTCCTAACTACATGCATTTGGTTGTATAGTATTAAATAAATAAGGAAATAATTGCATTGCACACAGCCGGAAGCTATGAAAAAAAGGAAAGCGACTTTTAGTTTAGCATTTGAACTGGCTTAAACTGAAATGGCCGTGAGAATTTCTAGAGTACAAAATTCTTATTGCACTGTCAAAATGTCTATCAAAACTACTTAAGAGTTTCAAGTTCTCCAGGTTTCCAGGAATTTAAGGGAATACCTAAAATCTCCTAATTGTCATTGCACTTCATATCAAAAAGGCTATTCGATTCATATCAAGTAATAAAGCTGTTGTATTTACTTTTCAAACACTTGTTAAATCATTTTTTTTTTTAAGAAAAAGTCCACAATTTTCTTATCGAACGCTGTGTGCAATGCTTTTCTTTTATTTTATGCATTATTTTTATCATGTCTTGGAACTTTTTTCTTTTTGTTTTCTTTGTTGTGTATCTTCTTTTTTTGTAAGCGTTTTTTTTTTGTTATGTACATATATAGTTTGTGCGCGTCCCATTCATTCAGTTTTTTTTGGGTTTTAGCTGTATTTTTTATTTTTAATGCTCTTTTGTTAAATAAGAAATACATTTATGATTTTTACGGTGTAATATTTACAAATAAGCTTAGGAAAGTCATAATTCACAATGCTGGACATTTGTTGGCAATACTTGGAGACAAAATTTTAAATATCGTTATGTTTGATTGATTTATTTTATTATAAGTTTGTGAACACAGCTCCAATAAAATTTAGACGCTCCGCTCACACCTAAAAATCACAAATTGTGTAGTATTGCTTCTCAATTAGCTTTCAAGAGTAATTTGCTCAGTTAAAAATTTGTAAAGAGAATTTTCGGAAAATTATTTTATAAAAATTTATAAAAATATTTTGCCGTTTGCATGATGGACTAATTTTTTTAACCAGAATTTCGAATAAAGTGCATGTTTTTGCATTAAAATATGTATGTTTATTATATTATTTTACGCAAATATTTATTTTTTTTTCAATTACTGAAAGGTGCATATATAGATTTTCGATTTAAAATTAGTCAACAAAATTAAAATTCATAAATGTATAATTGGCAATCCAAAGAAAAAATGTGTACATTATAAAATTTGCAAATACGCGCAAGAAAGACAAAGTGAAAATAACTTTGTTAGAGAATTTAAGAAAAGCAAGAAAAAAACATTCGGACAATTCCCTTGAACTAGAAAATTTCAAAAAAAGTTGAATCTCGCCTTAAAAGTTTCATATACATTTTGAAATTTAAGTCAAAATGTCGAGACTTAAGTGAATTCCTCCTTTATTATACATATATAGTTGCACAAGAAACTAAGAAAAATTTATATACAGTTGACAAATCTGTGATTTCGCAATCTGAAGCGTGCCTTCACATAAACCCTTTTTTAATCTAAACAAGTGAAAATCTCCTCAATGGAAGTTGTAAAGGATGATTTCTCAGCTATAAATTATTTCATTTGTTTTCCAGCGAAATCCAATACATACGTCCATACTGCTTACATATAATAACCAAAAGTATACGATGTGCAAAAGCCTGACAAAATTCGAATTCGAGCCAACAAAAAGTTCATTTTAAGAAAAATTTCAATTGTGAGAACTCGGGCATGAATCACTAAATAATTTAAGAGAAAATACACGATGTCTGCATGGTCTGGACTCGCACTTAAATACAGTGCAGGCCACTTAAATAAGGTCCTCTTTTTCATCAATAACTACCAAGGCGAACTCATATAAGGTGGTAGCGGTAGAACAAGAACTTACATGTATTTTGCTTTTGCCTTCGGTACACAAATGTCAATTTTCAGCTAATCGTCGCTCAAGGAAGAAGATGGAAATAAAATTTTAACACTCTCACTTTCGCGCTCATTCATAAGAAATTTTGACATCTGTGTACCGAGGCAAATTAAAGCAGCTGTTCTAGCAACAGCACCTTATGCGAATTCGCCTTGAATAACTACCGTTGATTTGTTATTGCTACATCATATGGATCGAAAAAGGCTGCAGTTTTGATGAAAACTCATTGAATTATAAATTTTGTTTATAAAAATTTCGAAAATCGGGTTTACATGGTTTTGGTTGTATTTTTATAAAAAATAATGAGTATTAAAAAGGAAAACTATCAATACTCAGGATCGAAAGAGGGCGCTATTCAAGTGGCCGTCACTGTATTTACCTAAATCTAGACAAAAACTGGCACTTACGTGCAGCACAGTTCAACAACTTTCCGAGTATTATTTTGTGCTGCAATCTTAGACTTAAGGATGTCATCTCAACGTTGGTTTCGGTAGGACACACGATAAGTCATTAGCATTTTTTACTTTGCGTCCTCGTACACCTTTCCCACCCAGTCTGAGCATTCACTCGTGCGTTTATCTTCAACCAAAATTAGAAACAGAAAATGTATAGCAAAAAAAAAATCAATTTGTATGCACATTTCCAATCGTCAAACTCATCAAACTTCCTCCTCTCTCTTTCTCTCTCACTGTGTCTCCCGCCCGGGCGTATTTTTTTCTCTCTGTTTATTTTCGTTTACTTGTAGGTTTTATGCCCTGAATCGTCTTCAGATGGCCGCACCACCTATCAGCTCAAATCGCAAAATATTCGCAACACCAGCAGCAATGGCAATCAGTTGTATTATACTCCAAGTTTTAGTAGAACTTTGACGAGCTACAATAGCCACAGCAGACAACATTCCACCAATATCAACTCTAATAACTCCATTAACATAAACAACAACAACAACCGCAACAGCATGACAAACTTGTACTTAAGCAAACAAGCGAATAATCATAGCATTAAGAATACTCCATCCACAACCTCAAATTTCAACACAACAACTACTTCGAATTGTACTTTCACTTATCCGCAGTACAATAACAATAATAGCCAAAACAATTATCCAAGCAATGGCAATATGTATGTAAATTCTACGGCTGGTCCGTCTATATTCCTATCAACAAACACAAATAATAACAGTATTGGCAATGTGGCGTCTATGCCAACGCCAATGCCGACGATATTTGCAACGCAGGAGCAACTAGAACAGCAACAAGACGAGCTGTTATATCAGCAACAGCAACAGCAGCAGCAAAAACAACATCAACAATTCATGCAGCAGCCACAACAAGCTTATGAACAACAGGTGCCAACAACGCAATTCTACGATCAAAACCAACTTCACCAACACCATCACCATCATTATCCGCATCATCCGCATCATCTAAAACCATATCTTCATTATTGCCAAAGCAAACATGGCGAAAAGCCACTGCAACTAGACCAACAAGCATCGCAAGAGCAGCAACAGAAACACGATACATATCCATTAACAGGTGTAGGCATATCATCATCATCATCTTCATGCACATTCGCTTCATCCAGCAAGCTAACGTCAACGTCAATGGCTACGAAAATAGCAGCGGCATCAACTGCGTTCGCTACGCCGGCAAACAGTTTTTCGCCTTGTTGTATTGAGTCCCTAAATTACTACGCACAGGTTAGGCGGCTTAATTCCCACTTTGTATCCAATTGTCTAACCATTTGTGGCTAAACTGATAGTTTTTTTTTTTGGTAGCGTAATTTTTTTTTTTTTGGAATTATTCATGCGTTGTTGTAGCTATTTACTCACAATTGCCTATAGGTATACGAAGTAGCCTTAGTTTTTAAATAAATTCTAATGCTCGTCTGATAAAAAATTTCATGTTTGTATGGCATAATGGGTATTAATAAAAATATTAGTGTACAATTCAAATAATTTTTATTTAAACGATGTTCTTTTGTATACAAATTTTCGAATTGAAAATATTTGATTAGAAATTCACTTTAAAAGGGCTACCAGTCCAAACAGTTGAATATAAATCTACACTTTCCTCCTAATAACAACTTGGCTCAAACCGATCAAATTAAATTAATAACAACAATTGTCTAACGTCAAGAAATGTAAAAAGTTTTACATTAATGCTAGTTAAGAAAATTTTCAATAGTTGTAATGCATTAAATTACAAAAAAAAAAAAACAGAAACACGCGAAACTCTCAAAAGTTGTATTAAAAATATTTTGGCTTTGTACATATGTACATATGTATACTGCATTCTACGTACATACATATGTACGTTTGTAATACATGTTTATGATATGAAGCTATTGGAGTTGATCCTTGATTTTTTCGAATATTGAATATTTTGTAATTATTTTGCCAGTGTCAACATTTTAGATTTGTTTAATTGTGAAATAAATTATTTTGGTTCTTCTATCATCATACATTTTTGCTTCAAATCCTCATGCTTTATCGTGCTTTATAATTTTCGTTGAAATTGGTGTACGAATACATATACATATTTATTTAGACTTCTAGACTACATGCTACATACAGTTTTTGCTTATATGCGAAGAAACAAATCATCAGCACATTTTTACATACACGCGTATTTAAATGAGCCCATATCGGTATATGCACCTTTATTTTCGGTAGAAAAATACATTATAATTTAAAGTATAATTAAACTATTTAATAATGTAGTTGTAAATGAAGCTAACCTAAATTGAATTATTGTTATTCTGTTTTGATTTTCTAACTAAAATATTCTAGTACTAATGCACAAAAAACTTACATATGAAATTTATTGTTAGAATAATAATCCCTTCTTTCTCCATCGAACAGCAATTTTTAAATGAATACTTGGTCGTAGTCAAAACAAAAGGTACTATCTGGAATTTGTTTGGAAATTTGTTATTTAAAGATATAGCTTCACACTAAATTTCAACGCTCAATACTAAAAAAATATGAGACCCTTTGATATCTTTAAAAGTGATATAATAGCATTTCAGATTGTAATATTAAAAGTTTTTCGTGTCCTGTAAAATTGCAAATTTTCCATTTAGCGCCTTTTGTAATGAAGACGACGGATATGTACATCCTTTTGCCCGACACAAGGCATTTTTTAAATACATGAAAGAGCTTGAGCAAACTGTACTTGGGTACACATACATATACGTTTGAATAATTTTGTACAAAAGTAGGCACTATCTGCTTCCACGCATTTGCTCTTAGCAGCGACGAAACTTGCAAAAGCCAAGTTGCACTCACCACAGCCTCAATGCATGAATACTACTTTACTGGACGCACAATGCAGTATAATATTTGTTGTTGGAATAATGTACTATATTAGCCGTTCCACAAAAACATTAAATTCTAGTATTTTGTAATAAACATGTATGTATGTTTGAGTGCGTTTAAATACGAATACACTGTGAAAAAAAAAACAAAAATCTTTTACTTTTCTAAATTTGCATATCAAAACAAAAAAAAAAACAACATATACGTTTTTTAACATTTGTTATTATTCCTTTTTTTGTATTCTGTTACTTTTTATGAAAATTATATGTACTCGTTCGTAATTTGTGTGTGCGTGCAACACTACTCCCCACTCCACAAAAATACTAAGTTCCTGTGCCTGCGTGCATTTTTGTGATTCAACAAATACTCCAATACATTTACACACATACGCAACTCATGTGTGTGTGTTTGTATAATGCATATGAATGTGTAAATATGTGCATTATGTAGCGTCCTAGTGCTACTAAGCATATAAAGACTGCTGTGAAATGTCTTACATTCAGTTGGTGTTGTGGCAATGAGAATTTGCTTGTGAGTACCAACAACAAAAACGCAACAGCAAAAGCAATATAAATAAAGTATAGTATATTTGTAGTATATATCATTCAGCAAATCTTTACTTAAGCTGGTTTTAATTAATCCCACAACTAATCACAGTAATTCAATAAAATTTTAGCATAAAAATAATTATACGAAACAATTTTCTAATGGCATTTAAAAGTTATAATAGTAAACTTGTTAGTTGGTTTGTTACTTTTCTTGTCTTTTGCCCGATTTACATATATTTTTTCTTTATTAACACAGCAAAAACTTATACATATTTAACTTAGTTATTATTTTATCATTTTATATATGTCTTACGTCTATATTTTTCTTGTCCCCGTCGATTGCTTGCATTGAGTTTTTTATGTTTTTTTCCTATAGGGAATTCAATCATTAGTACTACACAGATCTAACCATTAACAAATATAGTCGAAGGTTAATAACTTAAATTATCAAACAAATCCTTATTTCAAACTCAAGATTGATTTTTGAAAATGTATGTGAGTAATTTAGTAAAACTTAAGTTTTTAAACTTTGACTATAGTTATTCCAGTCACGTAGATGATTCGACAACATTTTAAATGCATTGGAAAATGAGAAAAAAATCTTACCCTCGCTTATTTTAAAAAATTATCGAGCTTCGAGGCATCCAGTTCTCGAGATTATGACATACTAATATAATGCATTAAAAACAATTCTTTACTGAAAGCGTTTGCATCGAAAAATCACAAATAAATCTTTAAGTGTTCTATGAAGAAAAATTTTCTAACCTACAAATATCGTAAAGTTAAACGAATTCAGTTAAAAAATATATATTCCAAGTTTTCTAAAAGAAATACATATCGTTACCTAGAAGTGAAAAGGTATTAAGTCCACTTTTTCAAAATTTTGATTTTGATGCAGAATGACAGATAATGCGAATCTGAATCCATTTTTCGTATCTGCTGAACAATTTCAAAAAATGGACTTGGCACCTTTTCACGTGTAGGTAGCGATATATTTTATCGTATGTTACAATGCTTAGTAAAACAAAAATTAAAAAAAGTAGAAAAAACGCTCTCCTGGCAAATTTGTTTTCAATCGACAGAAAGAATAAAAAACATTTCTTGAGATTTTTCTTTGGAACTGGATAATGAGATAAAATAATTAAGTCATTTAAAGATTTAAAATAAACTTCAAATATATAATTGAAGAAAAAAATTTATAAATTTAAAATAGAACCTTTTGTTATTATACACCCCGTGTCCAAATTATAAACGAACCACATATTGAACAAGGTTTAATAACGCTGGTTTACAGCAAAAATGTTCAACGGATGTCACTATCCAATTCCTATAGAGAATTGCTCGGTGATTTCGAAAATCGACATCATCTTTTTTTTTCTATGAATAACTTTTCGAGATATTGCAATTTACCGTTATTCAGCTTAAAAAAATAGTGGTTTTACTTAATCACGTTTATCTTACGAACTAATTGAATAATCGTAATACGAGATACGGGAAATGGATACAGCGCCAAACAAGAAGAAAAAATCGTCGAAAATACTTGTACAAAATCTTTCTAAGACATCTAATTGATTTTTTTTTTAATACTGCACAAAGTTTGAAACTTGGTTTTTTTCTTTAAAAAATAATTAAAATTAAGTAACCAAAAAAAAATGAATCGTTGACGTAACCAATTGTGGTGCGTTTATAATTTGACACTGGGTGTATAAAAATATTTTCTACTAAAAAAGTATGTTTTAATTGAACAAATCATACTTAAACAGGCTATAATTTTTTTCTTAATTTTGCTGAAAATGATTTTTTTTTTAATTTTCCAATGCTTTTGGCACTTACATAATACCACAATTTGCTTGCCGTTTCATTTAACCAAACAATTAAATAAATCAATTTGAAACTCTAAATCAGATTTAACAATCATTTTTGCTTTTCTCTTTTTCTTCCGTTTTACAATTCACATACTTAGCTGCGTAAACAAAGTAGCTTTAATGCACGCAAGAAATTCCAATTCGCCATATTGGTTATACGCGCCGTGATCAGAATACGCCGATTGCGCTACACCGCCGAACCTTTGCGCGTCGATGAGGCTATACGCGATCCATATCGGGTTAAGGTGTTGCGTAAGGTAAGTCGAAATATATTTCTAGATTAGCTGCTGTCCTGGCAATTTTCATCCATGCATACATACGCGATGAGGGTTGAAAGTTGCGGCCAGATTATGAAGGGGTTTTGGAAAATATGTAAAAAAAAATACTTTTTAAATAATTTTCACTTTCCCAATTTCTCAGCGAAATATTAAATGAACAAGTAATTTTTAAGCAAAAAACAAAACCGACTTCAATTCTCATATAAGATTATCTCATTTAAGATTATCGTTAATTTCTTCATGATCCAATGATCGGATTTAAACCAAATTAGTTCGGGACCACCTGTGAGAAAGAGTGAAAAAGAATTATTGAAATCTATTAATGCGGTCCAAAGTTATACGGAACATACATAAAAAAAAAAAATAAAATAAAAATATTCCGACGAATTGATAATCTTTCCTTTTTGTGAAGTCGGTTAAAAAGTATTTTCTTGCTTCCTCTGTAAGCTGTTTAACTGTTAACAATTTTTATTTTCTATAGTAGATAAGGTTCTCTCTGCTATATTTATTTATCGTCCAAACAAATCACTTTCATATTTAAATTCTTTTTACTCACAGACTCTAAACCAAGCTACGTATGTACATACATACATAAATATGTATGTGTATGTATACTTGCCTGTAAACTAAAGTAATGTTCATATCTTTTCTCTTTCTTTATCCCCAACAGGTGATTGATGGCTGTGCCTTCCGTGTCTATGGTCATTGGGTGAAGAAGGGCGAGGGACAGAATCGTGCCGCACTCTTTGAGAACACACCACGCACGGAGTTGCATGCGCTCTATATCAACAATTTGAGTCGATGAGTTTGAGTTTTTGCAGTTCCTAGAAAGTAAATAAGTAGTAGGGAGTAGAAAAGTGGGGAATGTAGAAAAAAACGAGATTGGAAAGAAAGTGTTGAAACTTTTGAAATAATCAAGTAAAGCTATTACCCATTTTGCTTGCTCTTAGTGTTTAGTCAGCTGGAGAAGAAACAATTAACTTAAGTTGATAAGTTAACTTATAACAAAGTTGTTTTTGAAAGAGCCATTTTTTTATTATTTCTGTTTGTTTGCACTATTTAAAGTGTAGTGATTTTATTTAAAGTTATTTTTTTTTTTTTAGAAAATAAGAAACTTTTAGTTGTATACATATGTATGTAGAGAAGAAACAATAATCATTGATTATTGCAATTAAGCAAAGTACTGTAGAATTCTTTTTATTTAGTTTTTTTTTAGGAGTTGTATAAAAACAAGACATAGAAGAATGTCAACGAAATATGCGTTGAATACATCTTTAAACTGATATTAATGCATTGTTTAACACTTTTGCTTTAGTTTGTATTATTTATATACATAGTTTAATTTTGTTAAATATAAAAGCTTTGTATTTTTAAGAGAAGAAATCAGAAAAAAAAGAAAATAAAAGAAAAGAAGCGAAGACCTAAAGCAAATTATGCAATACCAAATAATTTTATGTAATTTAAAATTTAATTTAAAAGTTAACAGCGTAGAAATAGCTGTAAAAAGCTGAACACAGCGGTGCGAAAAAATATTGGAAGCCACATGGATTTTTAAATTAACTAAAAACATTTGTATGAGTATATTGAACAAGAAGTCTACAACTTCTTTTTAAATCTAAATGCAATTTTTATAGTTACTACTGTAAAAATATGTACGTACATATGTTGTGCTGAGCAGTTTCGTAATTTTAGATTCCAAAAATTTGTTTAACCTAAGAAATAATTTAAACATTTTATAGTCATTTGCGTGTGCTAAGTCCAAATTTGCACAAAGTCATAGAGCACATAACTATACTCATCTACCGAAAATATGTCTTTTTTGAAGAAAAATTAAGCAGAAAAATTTTTTTTCTTTTAATGTGTGCCAATATGTATTATTTTCTAATTGGCGTCAATAGAAAAATCTCAATATTGCAAAGCAAAGCCTAGAAACCGCAATTTTTTCGCTAAAAAATTTAAATTTAGAAACAAATTTAAGTAGTAAATTGATACAATATCAAAAAAGGTCGATTCGCTGAATCAAATTAAACAAATATAACATTATTTGCATTAAAAATAGTAAAAAATAAATAATTCGCAGAAAAAATTTAAAGCAACTGTACCTCTCAGTACCTCTAGAGTTTTACGCGTATGAATATATACATACACACTTCGCAGTTTGTAAAGAAACCTTAAAAACGCCCAAACGCATGCACTGCTGCACTAAAACATTAAATAAAATCTTAAAAACATTGTAAAACTTGTATTTTGAACATCAACAAACCACATTAAATTTAGTATGTGCAAAAAAGTGAGAAAAAAACGATTTTAATAAAATTTACGTTGTTAAAACGAAATTTCGCCTTGTTTTCACTTCAATTCCGGTTTCTAGCGTACCTGCAGCTTGCGCAAGCCCTAGCTGGCTAGACGACAGCATCCGGTGCCTGAAGGTATGCAACATCAAATCATGTACGTGTGCAACCGGCGCGCTTGTGTGCGTGCAGTTGGATTTCCGGCGCGTCTTGCTGCCGGTTGCTGGGCGCCTGGTGTAAATTCGACAAATTGACTTTCGGAATTTGGCCGCGCTGCACAGGGTGATCCAAAAATTAAAAAAAAAATGATTTTTTTTTTTTTTGAATTTGCTTCAGAAAATCAGCAGTTAGTATATATAGTTTTCTACAATAAATAAAACAGTAATTTTATGAGTTTGAAAATACTTTTGCGGCATTTTATTTTTATTATGCAACTTTTTTACATTTTACAATTTTTAATGGTTATAGCCAATTTCACGAAATCAGGTTTACAACCAATTGAAAGCAATTTAAGTAAAAAAATATTTTAATTTTTTGAGTTTTATATGGGAATTTTTTGTTTTAATTTAGATAGGAAAATTATTTTTCATTTATTTGCCTCTGAAACCGGCAGTTTATTTTTGCATTTAATTTTTTTTTGTATATTTTTAAATTTTAGATATTCTTTTGTTTTTTTTTGTTTAATTTTATTTCTTTTTTGTTTATTATTATTGTTTTATTTTTTAAATTATTATGTTGGCAATCAAAATAATACAGTGGTTGAAATAATAATAGCCGCACCACATTTGACAAATTTTAACATATTATTTTTGTTGTTATTTAATTTTGTAAATTTTTTATAAAAGTATAGTTCATTCTTTAACAAAACCGGAGTAAATACAAGTTTCAAACTTTGTGTGATATTTAAGAAAAAATCAACAAACTTTCGTAAAAATGTCTAACTTTTTAATTAGATTTTATAGAAAGATTCTGATTATGCAGTTTTCAAGTTTCAAATTGCTAAAAATTACGGTTGATTTTTTAGAATTCTTTTTGTCACATTTGCTTCCATATAACAAAACCGAAACATCCTGGACAAAAAAAATTCTAAAAAATCAACCGTAATTTTTAGCCATTTGAAACTTGTACTTTGTTGCACTTGAATTCAATGGGCTACATACCCAGACTGCATACCCAGAATCCTTTTAGGAAATTTATTTAAAAAGTTAGAAATTTTTACGAAAGTTTGTTGAATTTTTTTTTTTATTTTGCACAAAGTTTGAAACTTGGATTTACACGGGTTTTGTTAAAGAATGAACCATATTTTTATAAAAAATAACCAAAATTAAATAGCCAAAAATTTATATGTTAAAATTTGTCAAACTATGGTGCGGCTATTTTTATTTCGACCAGGCTTTTCTTAAGTTTGCGAGAAAAAATCAATTAGTGAAAATTTCTGCAATCTATCGGTGAAATTAAAAAATTATAAGCAATGTTTCTGTTGGTAGTTACAGTGGTCGAAAAATAAATAGGGACACGACAATTTTACAAATTTTGCCTTTTCTCTTCCGTTTAAAAGTTAAGCTCGTCATATAACAAGAACCATATTCAGTATCGGTCATATAAATTGCACCTCCATTTCAAAGTTTGTTTATTTATTTCTAAAAATGTTCAAATGAAATAAAATTCATTATTTAACCAAAACCATATAAATCAATCCTTAATATTTGTAGAAACCTAAAAAATGCAAAAAATCTTCATCTAAATTTCAAACTTTTTTCTCAAAAGTGTTAGAATTTTTTTGAGTATACACTTTTATAGCCCATTAAATTTTGGTACAATAATGTGCAAGTTTCAAGTAGCTAAAATTTATCGTTTTTTTACCAAAGGCGTTGCGGTTTTCTTCCACATAAAAATAAGTTGTGTTTATTCGTTATATGGAAGCAAATGCGGCAAAAAATTCAAATAAAAAGGGGTGTTAAAAAGTTAAAAATTTAGATGTAATTGCAGAATTTTTAAAATTTTTACTAGATAATGAGCTATACTTTTATGAAAAAATAATAAATGTAAAATAAATGAAAAAATAGACACAATTTGTAAAAACATGGTGTTCTTTTTCCACCACTGTATGTATGTATGATGGTAATTTCCGGTCATATATTTATGGCTTATGGCATCTGGCAGTTTCATGCGCCTGCTTCTGCATCACTTGTTGAAATAACTAAATAAATAGGAGAATCAGGCCTTGACTCGATAAGTGAATTCACTTTTCATTGCTGGTTCTAACACAACTTCCGCGTCTGAATTCATTTTGCTGTTCCACGGACCACATAATTAGCGTATTATCTAGAAAAATAAAGAAAAAAGAATAAAAACTAATTAGATTCTGTTTGATTCGATAAAAACTGGCATGTATGTATGTATGTATGAAAATGGAAAAAAACATCCGGGCCCCATGCCTAACACTCACGCCTTTAAAATTAACATATCGATTAGATAAGACCAAAGTGATCAAAAGGCATCATAGCCAAAAAAGTAGTAACAGGAAGTACCTAGCCTCTATCAGTAATGTAATGAACAGCGCATTGAAAGTCATTCACCAATGGGCATCTCGAGCGGGGCTCAACCAGTACCAGCGAGCTGTCAATTAAAGACCACACAGAGTAATTGGGAGTAGTCTTGGATAGTAAGCTGCTGTGGAAGCGCAATGTTGATGAAAGGGTCAAGAAGGCCAGTAATTCCCTTTATGCATGTAAAAGAGTGCTGGGAGTCACTTGGGATCTGTCACCTGCTCTGACGCATTGGTGCTACAGAGCAATAATCAGCCCAATACTGCCCTATGGCGCTTTGGTGTGGCTTAATGCTACGAAAAAGTCATCATATTTCGGGCCAATGGAGAAGGTTCAGCCACTCGTAGCACTGTGCATCACGGGAGCGCTGAGGTCCACTTCAAAGGCTGCTCTTGAGATGATCCTCAGTTTACCGCCCTTTGTCCTATTCGCGGAAAACCGTGCTGCTAAATCCGCAGGTAGATTGACGACCATGGTGGAATCCATTTTAGAACCTTTGGGCACAGCTCAATTTGGGCGGAAAGCACAGGCAGCCCGCTTTAAGTGGGAACGAAGGTTTCGCACAACGATTGAGGAGGAGGGATGGCGCAAGGGAATTAAACCTAGCCCTAGATCCCTAAACATTTTCACGGACGGCTCTAAATCGACAATCAATTCAAAAGTAAATCTATACGTAGATTGTCAGGCGGAAATTAAGGCGGTTACCTCATATAGCCTCATAAACGTCCTTCACAGCCATTGGCAGGATGGCCGCCAACAGAAGGCTGCATATCTATTGGGCGCCCGGCCATAAGGGAATAGAGGGCAATGAAATAGCAGATGAGACTGCCAAGAATGCCACCAGTCTAACTCTCGTGCAAACAAACTACATTCGTAGACTCCACTTCAACAGTTGTACAACGAAATAGACGATAATATGATTAGGCAGTTCAGGACTAGATGGAATGAGTTAACCACTAGCAAAACGGCGGAAGCAACTATACTCGCTTCTTGTTACGGCTATCAAAGGAAGACTGCAGAGTTATTACCGGATTGCATAAAAAATGGGTATCCCTAGCGTGGACAGGTGCAGGAAGTGTAAGCGAGAGTCCAGGGAAACCAGGAAAACCTTGAAGTATCTTCTCTGCCGATGTCCTGCACTGTCAGAAACCCGACTAAAATGCTTGGGAACCCTACCAATTCGAGAAGTTGGAGGACATTTCAAAAGTAGGGCTGAAATTTCTACTTAAATTCGCAAAAAACGTTGCATCCTTTGTGAAATTTACACTAACGCGTAAAAACGAGCACCAACCTACCTAACCTAGGACCTACCGGTCTATGTGCGGCTCAACGCCAGCCAGATTATCCCCACCTCATAAAATAAGAGTGTGTTATTAGGGAAAAAGTGTGAGTGTATTAAAAATTGAAAGAGGAGAATTTAATGTCTAATGTCCCGGTAAGTCAGGAGTATTTACGTGTCAAAGTGCAAGATAAATTTTTTGGCCTAAAACCCCAATGCAGATTTTTAAAAATGCGAGCAGGTTTTGACTGAGAAAAATACAATTTCATCATTATTATAATTATTTTGCATTAAGAGAAGAAAAATTAACTTAACAATCATCCCTATAGATAGTTAGATTTTTCACGTACAAAACCATTTCAGAAATGCTCCAGCCTTAAAACCATTTTCTGAACTATTACAGCAGGCAGTTGTGCACATGGGTATATTAACTTTGATCAATTTCAAAAATACGAAAACTGCGATATTTCAATAACTGAGGACGCTAATTTACTCCAAGTCAATAGTAACAACAATCTAGTAACAATAAATAAGACTGCTATAGACTTTTAGGAATTGGGCATGGCACCGCCCACTTTTTGACTACAAAGGTGTAGCTCGGTAACCACTTTATCGATTTGTATCTAACTTGGTTCAATTATATCATTAAGTCTAACTCTGCATATTATCGGAAACGTTTGAAATCGGGAAAACACCCCTACTTGTCATGCAAGGTAGTTCAGAGAAAGTTGAAACGACGATATTTGATACCTGCGCCCGCCCGGTATATAAAGTTCGGTGTCGCCTGAGCTTATACTTCTTTATACGGCGTTTCCACGATTCGTAATTCGCCTTGCCAATTACCTACCGAATTACATAATTCCCCATACAAAATTTAGAGAGCGCATTACCTCATTTGTAGGTAATTCAGATCGAATAATATTTATCGGAAATATATCGAAGTTTTCACCGGCCTGATCCCATTCGCTGGCATTTTTTTCTTGTTACAGAATAATATTAATAAAATACTCTATATAAATTAAAATTGTTGATTACTTAAATTTTAGCTCCATCTTCGATATTTGCAGACACAAAAATAATAATAAATAGCGAAGAACAAGAACTAGAGCTGCCAAACGAATTACTAATGTGTGCCGTGGAAACACGGTAATTCACGAATTACTTAGCGAATTACTTAGTCCCGATCCCGCCCATCCCGACGTTTTTCAGAATCGTACCGCGGGTCCCGTGGATCCCGAATTCTATCACTAAGAAAAATTCCCATTTCTTTCAAATTAATTTTGAATAACAAAAAAATAATGATAGATCTGGCATCTTCCGATTATTTTGTTTTGCTGTCCTGTTCGTTTTCGTCCCAATATAACACAAAAAAAGTGCATATTTCACACATCATTTTTAAGGAAATTTTCCGAATTTTCTGAGGTTGTCTTATCGGAAGTATCGGGGAAAGGATTTTGGTCCCGTCCCGCCCGCAAAATTTCACAGACCTTCCCGATACCGCCCATCCCGGCCAATTTGAAATCAGTACCGTGGGTCCCACGGGTCCCGATATCCCGCGCCCATCTCTAATAGAAACATGATACAATAAGATGTCAGGCAAAAGCACGCTCAAATTGCAAACATTTAAAAACTGTGCAAATTTTTGAGTTATGACCCGTTACAAGCCGCCTTCAATTCGCCAACACTTAGCGAGTGGCGAAACAACCAAACCCGCCGGATTAATAAGTGCGCGACAAATATTGTTATCGATAACAGAATTCAGCGATATGATTTCGATTAACATATCGATACTGGTAAAAAATTGAAATCGATTTCACCGATTATCGATTTTTTTCGATAAAGAATAATCGATGAATATATCAATTATAAACATATTTCTCCACGTAATCGTTAACTAATATTATCGATATCTCTACAACAAACATTTTGACTTTATAGGGGTTCCGCCAACATAAATCTACAACAAACATTGCAATTTAAATGCCTGAGATTGCTTTTTGGCAGGTGTTTATTTTGCATTTGCCCTACTTTAAAACGCCAACAGCTCCTCAATCGACAAATAACCTAATTCACATATGCATGCACTTTTATACATATGTACATATCTAAGAAGAAATACTTGGTCCCAGTTACATATGCATATAAGCATTTACATATATACAACGCATACATATGTATGTACAAATGAATACAACCTTGTTCGCACGGGGTTCAGCGCCAGTCTGCTTGCTGTGCTCGCTGTCTATGTTGCAACAAAAAGAGTTTAGCGGTTTTTTTAGAATTTATTTCCCTGCATTTCACCGCAAAAGAGAATGTCAGCTATAAACGGAAAAACAAGAAAGGAAAATTTCGTTCATGGCCATTGCCAGGTGATGTTTGTTGTGCTGTGCTGGGTTGTGTTGTGATGCTGTTTGCTAGCATCGAGAAGTGGTTATTTGGCGCATGCGCAAATGTTCTTTAGCACTGATACGGTGCAGTCGAGTTTGGCAAAAGTAAACGCACGCATGCGCAGTTGTCGCGAAAAAATTTGGTGAGAGAAAATCAAAATAACGGCAACAGACTAGATATTTGAATTAACGGAACCAAAAAAAAAAAAGAAAACGTAATTTAAATGTGAAAACGAATGAAATTAGTGCGAAAAAGAAGTTCGAAAAAAGTTAAAATTTTTGCAAGCTTAGAAACTTTTACAAATGTGGTTTCTGTCAAAGAGTGAATCATATTTTAAATGAAAATTATTAAAAATAAATAAATAAACCTAAGTTGCAAACAATATTATTTTGAGTTTTGGTGCTAAATCTTTGACTATAGCTTTATGTGCATACATATGCATGTGAATATATTTGGAAGGCTTGATGCATTAAGAAATGTGTTATACGTTCGCGTTCGTCTCCCTTTAATCGCCATTTTTAGTGCCGGTATGGTGATTTTGCTTCTTCCAAAAAAAAAAAAACGTTGCCCTTCTACGGTGCAAAATGTGTTTGATGTTACACTCAACCCTGTGAAAGGATATGTCTTTTTCCTTCTTTTTTTTGTCTAGCCCATGATTTTTTTTAAGTAACCATCTGATTTTCAGGGCAACCTTCTCCCCTGACAAAGCTTCATAGAGCAGAGAATGTGAATTTTTTTCCTTACAACAAGACTGTGACATTTTAAGAAACTAACACAAAATTTTGCCTTTATTTTAGAATCGTACATGGAAAGAGAAAGGGGCAATCAAAAGACGAAATTTTTTGGTAGAAACAAAAACAACATTAGAAAAATGAAAATGCATGAAAATGTTATCCGACTTTAAATAATGTAAAAAATCTTTTGTTTAAAAACTTAATACACATCTATTTCATAAATAGCCCGTATCATAAATACATACATTGCCGGACAAAAGTATTGGCACAGAGAATGTTTCTCAATGTACGAAAAGTTTTTTATTCTAATTTCTTTTCGATAATTTTTTATAAAAATATAGTTCATACTACAATAAAAAAACATAAAAATAAAAC